TATTTTATTTACATTGTGATCTGTAGTTGTAATAATTTAAAACGTAAGCATTTTTTTTAAAACGTTTATAATACTTTAGTTTTTATGTAATTGTATAATAAATAACCAATTACTCTTAATTACATATATAACACACTATAAATAAAGAGAATTGAGGAAATCAGAGACATATTATAAATAGAGAGTACATACAATTTAAATAGATATTACATATTCTTCGGGTCAATTTTCACGTAATCAATAACATACTATAAATAGAGAAAATTGAGGAAACCAATAATATACTATAAATAGAGAGTACATACGATTTAAATAGATATTACACATCTGTTAGGTAGAGAGTAATATACTATAATCGAGAACTTCCCACTTGACTCATTTAGTAGAAGAAATATATTTTCGACATTCTTGAATAATGTTCGATGTCCTGAAAATGTGATCGTGCCTAATATTCGACTTTCATCTCTGTTAGATATTCCCATGCATCATGTGATTTATGTTATAATTAAATATTAAATAAATAATATATGTAACCAATTAAGATAATTAATTAATGAGATATTTAAAGAATAAATTAAATTTAGTATTAATTTTGTATTCGAATAAGTGATTAAATAAATAATTAATTAAAGTAAAGAAATATTAAATAAATAATGTACATAACCAATTAAAATAATTAATTAATGAAATATTTAAAGAAGAAATTAAATTAAATATTAATTTTTATTTGAATAGGTTTTAAAATAAATAATTGAATAAAGTAATTAAATATACATAACCAATTAAGATAATTAATAAAGAAATATTTAAACGAGAAATCAAATTCAATATTGGACAATTCTACATATATTAATTGATAAGAATGTCTATAATGTATATTTGAAATTTTATGAGTAAAGGATCGAAAAAACTATTTTTCAACTCTCCAATAATATTATGGCACTTGTACATTATGGTATAATGTTTTTATTTAAACAAGCATTTGAAATAAAGTAATTAAATATTAATGACTAATAATATACATAACCAATTAAGATAATTAATTACTGAAATATTTAAATAATTAATTAATATTTAAAAATTAATTTTTTATTCAAATAAGTGATTAAAATAATAATTAAATAAGGTAATGGAATATTAAATACATAATATACACAATTAATTAAGATAATTTATAAATTAAATATCTAAATAAGAAATTAAATTAAATATAAATTTTTTATTTAATTGTGCGATTAAATAAATAAAAAAATAAAGTAATTAAATATTAAATAAAGAATATACATAATTAACAGATAATTAATTAATGAAATATTTAAATAAGAAATTAAAATAAATACTAATTCTTTTCTTTAAATAAGTGATTAAATAAATAATTAAATAAAGTAATTAAATTTTAAATACATAAAACCAATTAAGATAATTAATTAATGAAATATCTAAATAAGAAATTAAATTAAATATTAATTTTTTTATTTGAGTAGGTGTTTAAAATAAATAATTAAATAACGGCCAATTAAGATAATTAATCAATGAAATGTTTAAAAAAGAAACCAAAATTAAATATTAATTTTTTATTTGAATAAGTGTTTAAAATAAATAATTAAATAATTTATTAAATATACGTAATCAATTAAGATAATAAATTAATAAAATATCTAAATGAGAAATCAAATTAAATATTAATTTTTTAAGCAAGTGATTAAATAAATAATTAAATAAAGAAATTAAATATTAAATAAATAATATACATAACCGATTAAGATAATTAATTAATGAAATATTTAAACAAGAAAGTAAATTTAATATTAATTTTTTATTTAAGCAAGGGTTTAAAATAAATAATTAAATATAAAGTAAAAAGTGTTTGATTTTTTAATTTGTAACTTAAGGGTATTTTTGTCTTTTGAAACAAAATTGTATCTTTGTAATTGTATAAACTATTTAAGGATATTTTTGTCTTTTACTCAATAAAAGGTCATTTTGGTGATAGGCAAAATTTTTTGCTTAAAGTGAAAAAATGTCCCCTTGACTTGGCCAAACTAAAAATTACCCCGGTGTTTGGGAGCCATTTTTATGTAAAAATATATTTTAGAATAGTAAATTGATGGAAAATTTATAGTGGAAAAATAAGGAAAAGTTTTTAATTTACGTGTAATATTATTTTAATGAAAAATGTATAGTTGAAAAGAATAGAGAGAAAAATGTATTTTGAAAAAAATGGATACCAAACGGGGCCTTATTAAAACCTGGCCACATTTGTCTACCACGATGCAAAATTAGGTTTGTAATCTCATCCCATGCTTTTATGGGTCAAAATGTATAACATTGTCTTGCGAGACCTTGATGATAGTATGACCCGAAATGAAAAGTGATGTAGAGCCAAAGCAATAGAGATAATATAACGAAACATTATAAAAGTTTCATTAATTTCAAAGGAATACCGCAAAACAATTGCCATTTTTTTAAATTTCTAAAAATAGCAGAAATCAAAACTTTAAAAACATTTTGATTCGCGCACGAGCACAACAAATTTGGACTCGTCAATTTTACTTATCAAATTTTGAGAATCTAAGAAATTTGAAAAGATCTCAACAATTAATATTTCAATTCTAAAATCACGTAGGGTCTGTTTGATTATAAAAATAGAATTGATTTGCATAGCAAACGAATTTCAAGGAATTGAATTGCCTAGAAACCGTTTTCTTAGGAATTGTAAATTATTGTGTTTGATTGATATAATTTTTTCGCGTGAAAAATATTGAAATAAAAGTGTTATTTGATGTTCGTTTGACTTTATTGTACATGAAAATTGTCAATTAAAGGGATAGAATTTACTGGTATTGGGGATGAAATTTGTTTACATTGCCAAAACCCAAAAAAATTTCAAGAAAATCATCTATCTTTTGATATTCGTTTGGTTTTGTTTTACATGAAATTGTCAATTAAAGAGAAATAGTTTTTTACAATAATTCTTATAATTTATTTCCATTGTAAGAATTAAAAAAAAAAAACAAAAAACAACAAAAAACTAAAAAAAAGCTGGAATTCAAATTCTCATAATTTTGGTGAGAATTGAAATTCTATCAATAGAAGGAAAATGTTGATGTGGCGGTAGTTGGTGGAATTCCAATTCCATGGAATTAAAAGGCTATCAAATAATCTTTTTTGTGAGAAAAGGATTTCCATTTCCATTTTCAGGCCTTTAATGCCAATAAAGCTTACAATCCTTCATAAAACAATGACTAAAAATTTAGATAATGACTAAAATCTACATAATGACAACAATCTAGATAATGAATAAATAAAAAGTCCTAATTGCAATTGAAATTCGAATTTATTTTTAAGAAAATAATAACTAAAAGATAATTAAAAAATTCGAATTTTAATAAATAAATTGAAATCATTTATATATTCAATAGATTATCGGGCTTAGTATATACCATGAGATTGCAAAGCATATGCTAGCTCCAAGTTTTTTCTTGCCTGGTCTTTACGAATTATGACAATCAACTCTTGATCGGGTTAGCCTCTAAATTACTGCTTTATATCAGTGAAGCTAATAGTTAAAACATGAAATTCTACAGCAACATAATAATCTTTTCAACAAAGATGTATTCAAATAGTTTGATTGCTTAAGGTGAGGTCGAGAGGGTTGAATGGTTATCTTGGTTGAAAAGGTTGTAAAATGTGCTTTGATATCTATTGGAAATATTTTTGGGCTCTTGTATTTTGACCAATTTCTTCAAAGATTCTCCTTTCAACATATATTATAGGATGTGATTAACGAAACTTATTTGCCTTGGTCTCTGTTTAATTCAGATAAAAAATTAATACAAAATAAGTTAAAATCGATAAAATTTTTCAATCACATATTTAACATGACTCACAACTTTTATTAACTTTTCAATCCTCATTTAATTATTTTTTTCAAAATTTATTTAAAAATTTTGATTTTAACAAGATCAAGTTTAGCCCATGTTTATCTTCCTTTTATCCCCCCTTTCAAAACTTTGTTTTTTCCTCAAATTCATTTCCAATCACAAATTGCACAATGAAACATTTTGCAGTAAATTAATTAAGACATTAACTTGATATTAGATGACTAGAATAATCATCATATGTCACGGCTTCTTAATTGAGGCAACATAATTACAGAAAACTAATTTTTCAAAAAACAACTGTCACATAAGATGACTAATATAGTCGCTAGCTATGAATAGTATTACTTTTTCGAAAAGAATAATAATATTCATAGCTAATGACTGCAGTAACCATTATATGTGGTAATTTGTTATTTGAGATGTTGACTTATTATTTGAAGCAACAGATTTACTAAGAAATTAATTCTTCAAATAACAAGTTATCACACAAGATGACTACTGTAGTCGCTAAATATGAATGATATTACCTTTCTAAATATTACTTTCTCCCAAAAATAAAGAGAAGCATAGGTCTAAGGAAAAAATCGAACGATCCGTAAGGATGACCACATCGATGATCGCGCACTCACATGGATGCGTGGATCCCGCATGAATAAAATAATATCCGACCTCCTATGTGTGTATGTAATCATCTCCGATGTCAAGCACGATGTTCGTGTAGCTCTAGGTCTAAATTATGGATTATGAGGAAATAAAAGTACACCAAATCTTTCCGGAAACGTGGCCTGCCTAACTATCAGGTGGACCGGGTCAATTTTCAAACCAAAAAAAAAAAAAAAAAAATTCTCAATCCCCGACATAATCGTTCTGTTTAGATGATTCCGTAAGAGATGACGTCACTGTCACCCAGAGCTCGACTGTTTGAAAACTTCCCAGTCAAATGCCAACTCATCAATTTTGCCACGTCATCCCACTCCCATTGCCCAAAATTTTCCACGTGCCAATATAAAATATTCCAACTTTTTTTTGACAGAAACCCCGTGTATAATTTGCGTATGAGCTGGCACTTTTTCCATTTATAAACCCATCTGAATTTTGACCTCTGTTTCCACAATAAAAAATTCAGCCAATCAAGTCAGCTCTCAAGAAACATGCAGAGGTCAGCCAAGAGATTCAAACAGGAAGCAAGTATCTTAACGAACCACTCACCGTTGACACCTCCGGCGCCGCCACCACCGCCTCGGCTAACCAGTGAGGAGGAAATGTCCGTCATGGTAGCTACTTTGAAGAACGTCATAACTGGTGACTCAGCCACTTCTCACTTTGACTATGCTGCTGAAATGAAGGTTGTGTCTTCGGTTGCTCAAGATACAGAGACTTGTCACTTTTGCAGAATCCAAGGGTGTTTGGGGTGCAATTATTTTGGACCGGCGGCGCCAGTGGTGGATGAAAAGAAGAAGAAGAAGAATGTGGTGGTGAAGAACAAGAAGAATTACAGAGGTGTAAGGCAGCGGCCATGGGGAAAATGGGCGGCAGAGATTCGGGATCCTCGTAAGGCTGCAAGAGTGTGGCTTGGTACATTTGAGACGGCGGAGGATGCAGCACGGGCTTACGATAGGGCGGCGATTGAATTTAGAGGTTCAAAAGCAAAGCTTAATTTTCCTTTTGCCGATTACACCACCAACCTGGCCTCGGCCAGTCATCAACCTAGTCCACTATCTCAACATCATTACAATCATCAGAAAAGTCTGCATCAAGAAAATGAAAGAAACAATAAGATTTCGACAGAAATGGAAGTTGGGACTAGCAATGAGATGCGTTTCTGGGATGTGATTGGAGAAGATGAAATTCAAGAATGGATGACGACAATGATGATATATTCCAGCGGACAAGATTATTCAGATTCTGCCAGTAGGATCCTAAATATGTAGCAGCATAAAAGAAACCCATTCGTAGTTTTATTGAATTGCGCGAAGAATTCTTTGTTCTGTTTATTGGAGTATTTTTATTTTATAAAACATCTTGACTTTTGTACTTTGATCGGCGATATAGATTAGATTGTGTTGAAATAGAATCGAAAATGGTGTATACAAAACATTTCTCTTTTTTATTAATATCAGGTTTGTGATTGGTGATTGCCTTTTGTTTTGTGTATATATATTGACATGCATAGATAAATATGTATACAAACAAATGTTTTTGTAATAAAAAAAAATCCTGATTGAATTTTAGTTGGATTTTTCTAGTTGTACAATTGGGGTTGACAACCTCGTTCGACAACATCCTCACATGAGGGAGGCTCACGATTTTTTTATTCATCGTACGCCACCTCCTATCTATGTGGTTGTCAATCGAAATTGTAAATGGAGCACTCTTTGAGCCTAACTCTAACCATAACCATATTGCATTTATACTTCAGCAAATAATCAAATCTAATGATTAATCTTGTGAGTGTACTAAGATTTTCGGCCATAAAATAGCAAGCAAGTCAACTTAACATGGACCCACCGAACCTAGGAGAATAGATATATCTAGCATTGTAAAAGTAAAATCGAATACTTTCTTTTGAAGCAAGGCCCTGTTTGAGCCCATCAATTTGAAGAAATATGTCATGCAATAACGATTGATGGAGAATGTGTGATTAAAAAAAAAAGTTTTTGATTTACATGTAATATTATTTTAATATAAAATATGTAATTAAAAATGAGTACTGTAGAAAAAATAATGAGAAAGAACGTAAAGTAAATGATAACAAATAGGGGTTAAATTTGCCTATTAGCAATGTCTTTTAAATATTCCAAAAACAACGCAATTTCGTGCAATTGCGACGTAGGGCAAAACAAGGAATTCAAGAGAAAATATTAAAAACACGAAATTTGGAATAAACCAAATTATAAAGAGAATAAACTCGTAAATTTTATTAATAAAAATATAAATAAAACAACGAAATAACCCTTATTCATAAAGGTATACGTGGAAGCCTAGTTCAAGATGACTAAAATAAATGAAAACAAAGTTTACACAAACTAAAGTTGAAAATAATCTAAAATAAACTAAATAACAATAAAAGCAACTTTAAAAATTAATTTTTGAGTCCTAAACTAACTCGAACGGCCTAAATTCCATCGTGGTGTAATGATGAGTATTACTCATCTCGTCTCCTCTTTTTCGGAATGGTCTTATGGATCCAAACCAAAATTTGGACGTTCTCTCTTGAGTATTATTTTTCTCTAGTTTTTATTCAGTTCTTCTTACATTCATTTAATAATATGTTCTACATCAAATTGACAAGTACGGGCCCAACTGCCGATATACCACCTAAGATGATGAACTGTTGAACTGATCGCGTCTGGTGGGCCATACACAATTTAGTTGTTCAATGGTCACTTACGTAAGACGTGTGCTTAAATTGAAGTACTAAATAATGGAAACACATATTTAACATGTGCATATTTAATAGTCCCTCATGTGGATTTAAACTTTCTTAGTGCGATTTCCCTCGTAAGCTTTTGGTGTCAAATCGAATTGAGTTGGTGTAGATTGTAGTGGTTTAGAGATATTATGTACCACATTTTTTTCCCTAAAATTTCACATAGTTGTCATGAAAGATTGAGATCAAAAAATTTTCAAATATCATCATTCAATCAAAGGCTTCACAAGATCGAACCACGTATCACGATAAACAAGTTTAAGATTTTAAATCCTTGATTGCTTCTAAAGCATCTTCTTCTTCTTATTCTTTGCCCCAGTTCCGTTGACATTGTAGGTTTTACGCAATTGATTATATTAGATAAATATCTCTACAACATAATATAAGTTATTGAAATGATCTCAAAGATCCACCAAAGTACGAAAATCAATATCTTTCAGAAAACGAATTCATATTCGAAGATTGCATAATCTCAAGGATTTATATTGTGAAAATATAAGAAAAGTTTTTAGAGAATACTATGATAATTTTGTATTTCAAAACTACTTCCTACAAGGATTAATAGTGCTACCATGTAATTTTTCAGTCTCAAGATAGATGATGAACTCAGTGTGAGAAAAACGGTTGTCCTCAAATTAACAAAATATTATACTGAATAATTGGGGCTAAAAATTTTAAAAATCTTTACGACCAGTTTATGGCTTAATGCTCAAACTAAGAATAAAAGGTAATAGGGCCTAAAAAACCAGAGTAAAACAAGCCCATTAATGGTCCAAAATTAAAAGTTTTAGAACGTGGAAATTACACAATTTAATATTTCACAAATCATACGTTAAGTTTATTTTTTCAAAAGTCAGATTTTTTTATTAATGAATATATTTAAAATATATATATATATTTGCCCCCAAACACAATTTCAAACCCTAATTTATTTCTCCTTCACTTCCCTCTCTCTCTATGGTCACATCTCTGCCGAACAACCTCATTTTTTTTTTTTGATATCTAGGTATCCCAACTTACACTGAACTAAATCCTGGACCCCCAAGACCCTTGCCCCTAGAACCTTGGAGGGGGTAAATCGCGGGTTATGCCTCAACTGGATCACAGGTTCCCCCTATTGCCTGTACACTTCTGCGCACAAGAGACCCTCCTTCACAGTGATTGCTCCATACCAAATATTTGACCGCAGGTTCCCACCAGGAATCGAACTCTCCACCCTATCGCTGGAAGCAAGACAATGTTGATTGATCCACCAGTTGAGCTGTGCCCCGGGGGGGCGACCTCACCTCATTTCTTTCTCTCTGCATATTGTCGCCTCTCTATGCCGAATAGCGAAGCAGCTTAACACCGCCACCGCCATCACAAGTTGTTTTAAGGTCAGGCCCACCATCTTCACGGTGATGCTACATTGAAAGGACAAGTCATCGTGCACAGCGAGATGACCCTGATCAACCACTTTCATCATCTCCGGTGCTGATCATCCCTTCATTCATCAGTGATTCCACACAGTGTTGTTACGGTCGCTCGCACTATAGCGACGATGTTGTGCCCCGGGGGGCGACCTCACCTCATTTCTTTCTCTCTGTATATTGTCGCCTCTCTATGCCGAATAGTGAAGCAGCTTAACACCGCCACCGCCATCACAAGTTGTTTCAAGGTCAGGCCCACCATCTTCACGGTGATGCTACATTGAAAGGACAAGTCATCGTGCACAGCGAGATGACCCTGATCAACCACTTTCATCATCTCCGGTGCTGATCATCCCTTCATTCATCAGTGATTCCACACACAGCGTTGTTACGGTCGCTCGCACTGTAGCGACGATCTGTGGCCTCATATACTTCTGCAGCTTTATCATACATGTCGATTTTGGAGATTTTTTGATGGTGGTGTGGCGACAGCGACGACACTGAGTTTGGAGATTTTTTTTAATTGTTGTGGTGTGGTGTGAAGATAGAATGGTCATGGTGCTGTGGCCGGAATCTGCAGTTCCGCTATTTGGTGGGTTTTTGGGTATGCTTTCAATTGGTGGATGGGGCTGTAATGGTGGTGGTGGTGGTGTTTGGGTGGCGACGACTTTGTTGGATCCAATGATGGCGAAGGTTATGTTGGATATAGTGGTGGTTGTGGTTTTGTTGGTGGCGGTGGTGGCTGATATTGTGGGTGGTGAGACGATGGCGATGGTTATGGTGATATGTTGGTGGCGATGGGTCTATCGAGGTGGTAGTGGATATGAAGCGACGATGTGTTGATTTGAGGTGGTGATGTTGCCATCGAGAAGTGGCGATGGTGGTAGTTATGGCCGTGACGGTGGCAGTGGTGGTGGTTACTAGTGTTGTGGGGTGTTTTGTGACCAATAATTGGTTAATTTGTAATAAATAAATAATACGTTATCTAAATAAAGTGTTTGTGACTCATAATTTGTTAAGTTGTAACTAAAAAATTAATCGTGACCAATTAATCTAAAAATTTGTAATGAATAAATGAGTTGTGACAACTAAAAGTTTTGACTCTATGACCAATGAATAATCTGTAGCCTATAAAATTTTTAATTCGTGACCGAAAAATAATGTGTGACCTATAATTTTTTTTATTTATGACCGAAAAGTAAGTTGTTACCAATAATTTGATTAGCTGTGACTAAAAATTAATTCGTGACAAATTGATTTTTTGATTTGTGACCGATAAACAAATTGTAACCTACAAAATTTAGGAATTGTGATCTTAACAAAATTAGTGGCATAAAATTTTTGATTTGTGACAAAAAAAATAATAAGAAACTAATTAAATTGTTAATTTGTGACCAAATTGTATAGATCTCTTACCTAAATATATTTATTTAATAAAATAATTAATTAACTAATTACATCATAAATAAATTTTAATAAAAATCTGATTTTTGAAGTTTGAAACTTATTTTCTTAATTTTGAAATGTGTGATACTCAAATTCTTATTTATGAAATTTTTCCTTTTCGAACTGCACCTAAGCTCAAATTTTCCAAAATCCCAAATAGGAAATTAGGCCTAGTATGGCCCATAAGGAACTTGAATAATACACTTTAAGCTAGTTAAATAATATAGAACATAATTTATGCGTCAAAAATCTCCCAAAACGTTAAGAGAGAGAACGATTGGTGTTTCTTCAACTTCTTCCCATTTCCATTATCTTAACCAACAGAAACTGAGAAAAAAGCAGTACATGGAGCAGTATACAGCAACGCCACCGTCGTCGAGCACATATTGGTGAGTCTCTAAACCTTCACCGACCGGTGGGAATTTCTCACAAGTCTATGGTAGCTCCTGTTGGCAAAAATGAGTAAATGACTCACTTTTGGCAAGATTTTCGGTGGGACCCGTTGGTCCAAATTAGAATATCAAAGTTTATCCTTGTTCTCCTCCGTGAGAGCATCGAAACCGTATATTTATTTGTCAAAATTGATGATTAAACGAATAAGAAATTGGAGCTCAAAGATAACCATTGGAAGATAGTTTATGTAGGAAAATAAAACTAGTCCTACACAGGAAAGTGAAGAAAGTATTAACCACTTTATATAGGATTGCACATTGGAATAGTGTAATCATGTGTAGTATAGAGGTTTTCACCATGTGCCCGCGCAGAGGGGTGCAAATCATGGACCGAAATTGCTTTTGGACCTTGAACTTGTGTGCGGGCCCGACTTGCGTACACAAATATCAGACCGAACA